AGCCGATCTCCGAGCTCTATAAGATATGTGGTACCAAATATCATTGTTGTGGAGTGCATATTTCGACTTAAAGACAAAATTAGATGAGACATATATATATATATATATATATATATATATATATATATATATATATATATATATATATATATATATATATATATATATATATATATATATATATATATATATATAAGAGCTATAGTTATATCTGAACCGATATTCTCCAAATTTGATGTACATACTTGCTTTTAGACTTAATTCGGTCAGATGTGCCAAAATTCAGGTCATTTGGACTGATATTGGCCATTTATTTCCGAATCTTAGCCAATCTGGATAAAATTTGGCAGAGGTATTTCCGAGCTCTATAAGATATCTGATACCAAATATCATTGTTGTCGAATGCATATTATAGAAGTGAGGGACTTAAAACCCTATATCGTATTAAAAATATATGTGGAAGCTACAGTTATATCTGAACCGATTTTCGCCAAATTTTGTGTACTTGCTTCTGGACTGAATTCTGTTGGATGTACCAAAATTCAGGTCATTTGGACTGATATTGACCATTTGGTGCACAATTAACCCGATATCGGTTGAAGATATATGTGGGAGCTATATCCAAATCTTAACCGATCTGGCTAAAATTTGGCAGAGGTATTTCTGGGCTGTATCTGATTTCTGATACCAAACATCGTTCTTTTGGGGTGCATATTACGTCTGCGGAAGACAAAAATATCAAATCGGATAAACTATATATATGGGAGCTATAGCTATATTTGAACCGATTTTTACCAAATTTGACATACCTGTTTCTAGGCTCGATTTGGTCGTAAGTGCCAATCCCATTGGGCTAATATTACACGTTTGGTGCACAAAAAACTGCAAATCGGATGAAGTTATATGTGGGAGCTAAATCCAAATCTGAACCAATCTTGATAAAATTTGGCAAATGTATTTCTGATATTTCCCCAAATATCGTTGTTACAGAGTACATATTGCATGGCTGCGGAGGACAAAAATAACAAATCGGATGAACAATATATATAGAAGATATAGCTATATTTGAACCGATTTCGATGAAATTTATTATACTTATTTCCAGACTTAATATGGACGTATATGCAAAATTCCACGCTATTTGGGCTGATCCATTCCATGTTTAGTGCATAATAAATCGGCAAATCGGACGAAGATATATGTGGGAGCTATATCTAAATTTTGACCGATAATCTCCAATTTCATTAGTGTTCGTCCTTGGGTCAAACAAATGACTTGTGCAAAATTTCATCGGGTTCGGGTAATAAATGCGAACTTTTCCACGAGGATTTCAAATATCCACTGTAAATTATAGAGGGAATATTCCCGAAACATTTTTAACTTTTTTGGACCTTAGCCTTTTTATAACAACTTCGACTGCATTAAAAAAAAAAAAAACAATTTTTATTTGAAATTTAAAACAAATATTTTTTAACAATTACACCTTTTTCTAAAAAATGTCCCTTTTTTCGTTTCAATCAAATTCCCCTAAAACGCTCTTATTTAATAATTAGTTTTTATGGATGGATGGATTTTGGTGGTTAATGTGTGGTTACTGTTCGTCGCGTCAAGTTAGGATCGAAATGCACAATAGTGAGATTTAAGCAATTTAAAATTGAAATATTGCTATTAGCATTAATATGGATATTGAAAATTATTTTAAATAAAATCATTATTCATTAAATATAAGGTCGTTAACATCCGATTAAGTTAAATTGGCCCATTTTTCCTCTTGAGTTTTACATTGATCCTAAATCGACGTAAGGCCAGCCACAAACATTGATCTTCCAGTGATGATACAAAAATAAAAATATATAAAAATTTATTCTTCCTTTCTAGATTTTTAATAACCCCCAGAAAACTCTGGACATGTCGTTTAAAGTGATTACAATTAGGTATGAGATGGGGACCATTTCGACTCGTTTTGGCTTATTTAATCGGCCCTATTACTGTTGCCGTCGTCGTCGTTGTCGCAAAATTAAGTCGAAGCAACAGTTAGGTTGCCGTTTTTTGTCGATAGCTCTGAATGATTGCTATTATCATTGTCGATAAAACAGTGGACGTGAAGTCGTTCTTAGGGAATATCTGTCGCCGCAAAAAAATGTGACGTAACATTGTATTTGTATTTAGTCGACGTTGATATGATTAAGCATTTTGTATTTGATATTTGGCCATGAAAATAACAACAGTAATTTCCGACCTAAAATCTTAGCGCTAAAACCGTAAATGCTGTGGCCAATTGAAACTACTCTAGTTTAGTAGAAACTCTTCGATTTTTTTAAGTAGGTTGGTATTTTTACCCTGATTCCGGGAATCTTCTACGTTGATTCCCCAGATTTTTGACTCGAATGCCCGTGTTCACGACCCGGATTAGACCCGGATCCAATTACCCGATGCTACTTACAACCACTGTTAAATTTATAAAACTTTAGTTCGCGTACCTGGTTGAATGAACATGCCTAGAAGCGAATATGTCTGGACCCAGAAAAATTATTAGCACAAAGTAGCACTTTGGAAAGCTAAGAGTGTCAGCTATAATTTGGAAAATACCTATCCAACAAGTGGTCACATGATGGGGCCGACTACTTACAATAACTGTAAAATTTGGAAAACTTTAGTTCGCGTAGCCGGTTGAACATACCCAGAAGAGAATATCTCTGGACCCAAAACAGGTATTAGCACAAATTGTAGCATTTTGGAAAGGTAAGATTGTCAGCTATAATTTGACATCAATTCTGTTGACCCACGTAATGGGCACTTTTTCGATTTTTTGAGCGTTTAAAAAAAAAAACAGGGTTAAAAAAATCGATAATTTGACTATAACTTCCGAACCGCTTTAAATAACCCCCTCAGGTGGCCACTTGTTGGATAGGTATTTTCATAGGCGATACCTATATTGTATATATTGGGTAAGTGGATCCAGGTCTAGCCCGGGTCTTGAACCCGCGTCAAAAATTGTAGAATGTTGGAAAGGTAAGAGCGTCAGCTATAATTTAGCACCAATTTTGTTGATCCCCCACATAAAAGGCCCTTTTTCGACTTTTTGGGATTTTTAAAAACATTCAAGTCTAAAAAATCGATAATTTGACCATAATTTCCGAACCGTTTTAAATAACCCCCTCAGGTGACCACTTGTTGGATAGGTATTTTCATAAGCGATACTTATATGGTATAAATTGGGTAAGTGGATCCAAGTCTAGCCCGGGTCTTGAACACGCGTCAAAAATTGTACAATTTCGGAAAGGTAAGAGTGTCAGTTATAGTTTAGCATTAAGTTTGTTGACCTCCCGTAATGGGATCTTTTTCGAATTTTTTGGATTTTTTAAAAAAATCCAGGTCTAAAAAATTGATAATTTGATCATAATTTCCGAACCGCTTTAAATAACCCCATCAAGTGACCACTTGTTGAACAGGTATTTTCTGAAGCGATATCTATATTGCATATATTGGGTAAGTGGATCCGGGTCTTAAACCAGGACCTTCTGGTCAAAAAACTGGGTTCCCGGGTCCGTCCCCCCAAAAAAATATTTCCTGGAATCAGGGTATAAAAATACCTACTACTGGAGAAACGTTCAAAAAAATGGAAAAGTTTGTACCAAACTAGAGTTAAGACGGCCAATTTAATTTCAGGCCTAAGAGCCAATGACCGGCGCCACCTTTTGCAACTTTGGCAAAATTTCTTTTAGTAGTCCTTGAAATATTCTGAAATATTTTAAAATCTAAAAGAACACATTAAGGTACATATTTTAATTAAAATAAATTAAAAAAAATTTATTTTAATTTAAAATATGTACCTGGAGTCAGGCAATGTAAATATGTTTGTTTGCTGTTTTAGCACTCGCCGCTGCAAACAGTTTTTATATTTTTTTCCAACAACAAGAAAGTGTTGCTAACTTCTTTTTTTTAACTGTCGATGTCGCTTCTATGCCTTACCCATGGTAGAAGAATATGGGTAGACGTATCGACACAACTGCTGGGACAATGAACTGTCAAACAAATTTAGGAATTGAAAATTTTGAATGAAAAATTATTAAAATTTTGTAAATATTGTTGAAAAACGCGATTTACAATAACCTCCGAATGACGTCGTATAAGAAAACATATAAAAATCTACTTATATTTGAAAAAAACATTTAAAATTTTCTGACATATCAATGTTTCTTAGCGTTGATATCTCTACCTGTATTCTTCTACCATGGCTTTACCGTAGTACCATTTATGAATCGAAGCAACGGCGATGACGACTTGTACATAACGTCGACGACGACTGTTGCGATGACAACCGTAATTGGACCGATTATGAAGTTATTTGAATACAGTTTTTGGGGGGAGGCCAAGGGAAGTAAAAGAAGACTGGTCTGGCATCATTTCTCAACAAAATTGGCATGTTTTTCTAAAGCGATTCAAGGAAATACGACAAAGTCCCTAATAATGTTTCGAATTTTGGTTTTACCAAAACCAAGTTGAAAAAAAATATTTTTTTTAACTGCAGCTACTTCTGTAGTGGATTTCTCTAACTATTTTTTTTTTTTTTTTGGGTTACGTCGGTGGAATTAAAATGATTATAATTTGGTTAATTGAAGAAATTTGTCGGTAAGTTTGCGACGAAATCAAAGTAGTCGCTAAGACCTACTGGTAAAAAAAACAAAAAAACAATGTTGTCAACTTTAACTTCTTTTAAATAACAAAATGTTGGGTTTCAAAGTTACCGATTGTTGTCGGTAGCTCAAAAAATGATTTAGAGAATTCCACTACTGATGATTTGAATAAATTTACTTTCGAATCGTTTTAAAGAAACATGCCATATTATTATTATTTTTTATTTTATTTATTTTCATTTGTAAATAGTTTTTTTTTTATAATTAAGCATAGGGGACTTGGCATACAGTTCAAATACGTTGGCATATTGAAATTTAAAACTCTGTTTTTTTTTTGAGATATTGGAAAAAAAAACTAACGACTTTATTTTAAAATTATTTATATGTATATTATTAGCTTGTTCTCTATGAAACGAAAATATACAAAAAAAGAAGGCATTTTTTTGCGCAGAGAGGGAAGTATTTGCTTTCATTTTGGCTTGGATTGTTTTGTATGTATATGTATATATATAAATGTCTATGTATGATGATTATGTATGTACGAATGTGTTGTCTTTCTATGTAAATACACTTTTTGCCTAGGCATGGAAAAGTGAGAATTTTGTTTTGCTGAACTTAAATTAACACTTATTTTATATAGAAATATGTATGTTTGTTTTGTTGTTAGCCTGATTCGAGTTTGTTTCTTTTTGCTTGTTTCATTTGTATATAGGTATTATATAGATATATAAAAAAATTATCAAAATATATTTTTGTTAGGAAGAAGTTTTGTGAAGTTACCAAAACAAGCTTTGGGGCTGTGTGAGAGACAGAGAAAGAGAGAGGACGAGAGTTATATTTGTTTTTTATAATTTAAATTAATTAGAAGACAAAAAAATTGTACATTGGTAAGTCTTTTTTAAAGTTCTTGTTGTAATTTTTTAGTTGTTGTTATTGTTATATGTGGTCTATATAGTAGCATCAGACAGTTTCGAGTTTTTTTATCTTCTCTTCTCATTTTTTTGTTTAGTGTAAATTTGGCGGAATTTTCTTTTTTCATGTTGTTTGTAAAACTTATTACTAAATTCTCTTGTTTAAATAATAATAATAATAGTAATTAAAGATTAATACATACACATTTGTTTTTTTACATAATTCCAAAATATATGATATATATAAAGTTATTTAATACAAAAAAATTGGTATAGCTTAAAAAACGTTTGATAAGTAGTTTTGTTTGTTTTTATAGTTACTTTTTGTTGTTGGTTTGTTTCAAATAAATGTTTTGTGTTTCTCTTGCATTTCGCTTTTCCATTCTTCTGTGTTCTGTGTGTCTGAGGAGTAAATGGAGCTAAAGGTCCGCCTGCAGACTATACATGTGTTGGTTGGTTGCAATGATCCAGTTTCACATCGAAACAAAAAAATATCATTCGAATCACATTCATTTATTTCACATTACAGATGCACAATTGTAAACCAATTTGTTGTTGTTTTTTTTTTTTCTTTTTTTTTTGTTTTAATATCCACACACACAACCTTAAATAGTAGTTTGTTTTTTTATTTTCTTAGATTTTTGTATATTTTTTAAACGAAAACATCAAAAAATTTGGCATATAATTTTATTCTTTTTGTTTCAATAAACTAAAAAAGAAAGAAAAAATTAAAAAAATATATTTATTTTTTTATTAATTTGGAACTCACCTTTTATTTAATAAATAATACAATAATTACATTTATTGGTTCATAGGTGGCATTGGGCACATGGGACAACCGGGGGCACCTTGAAAGAAATTCAAAAGAAAAATTCTAGTAAATGGAGAAAAAAGTGGTATTAATAAACTTAGGAAAAATTGAAAAAAAAAAATAAATAAATAAACTAAATAATACAAAAAAATAAATAATATAAAAAAAATAAAAAAACTACATAAAATAAAAAAGGTGACATTCTCGAAAATACAAATACTAATAAAAATTAATAAAAATAATAATAAATCAAATGAAATAAAAAAATTATAAATATTAAAAAAAATAAATGATTATAACCATCGCAGATTAAGACGTTGAAATTTTTTTTAAAACAAATTGAAAATAATTTGATGAAAACGTGCTGTAAAAAAATTTATGTACGAAATTCGTTTCTGAAAATTTGGAATCGACTTTGACATAACTGTTAAAAATTTCCAAGAAACAAATTTTACAAACATAATTAAGTTAATATTGAAATTTTTATAATAGATATCAAGGGAAGATATCGGAAGAGAAGTTTAAGAAATTATTAGGTCCATTTTCAGTAATTTTCAAAAAAAAAAAAATCCGATCGTGTCGAATTAAACAAAGTCGGTGATGACAGTAATAGAGGTTAGTTAAAAAACCTTGATTTTCATTTTTTTTATCAAAACCAAACCATACGTTTTAGAAAGAAACCAACTTACGAATATTTAAGTTTTTAAAACTCATAATCTTGTTTTTTTATCCATAGTATGGAGGGTATATTAAGTTCGTAATTCCGTTTGTAATTCATCGGAACAATAATTTTGGACACAACAAAGTGTAGGGTGAGATAAAAAACTGCAACAAAGTAAAACACCATAATTTTTACATTTTTTTTATTTTTTTTTTTTAATCTTAGCAAAGAATGTCGTTCAGAATAAGTTCAGATTTACATTTAAATGCTGGAGTGCTCTAACGATAGCTACTTGTGGTTTTCCAGCCAAATAAAAAGAAATCACACTGACACGCTTAAATTCCATCACGAATAACTTCTTTTCTGGAAAATTCTAACCAAATTGCTTTTGTACACTTGTAAACAATATAATGAGCTGTCACTGGAATAATTTTAACAGCTGTCGGAAGATTGGCTTAGAAATCACAGCAGTTTTTTAAGTGTTGGTTGCAGTTTTTTCATCTCACCCTGTATATTCTTGAACGGAGTAAAATTCTAACACGATTTAGCCCTGTCCGTCTGTTGTAATCACGCTAGAGTCAAAACGAATAAAGAAATATGACAGGAAATTGTCTATGTAGGTCCAGGTCTTCCTATAGATCCCATACATCAGTACCTCCCTATATTCGGTATTTAGACGATTTAAGGGATATTATTCACTGGAGTTGTTTCAAATTTCATGTTTAGAGTTTCTAATGTGTTCTATAGCCTATGACAAAAAATTGTCTATACAAGGCGTTCAGGTCTTCATATAGCACCCATATACCGGTATCTCCCGATATTTGGTATTTTGACGATTTTAAGAGCAATATTCGCCGAAATTTTTTGAAATTTCGTATTTGAAGTTCCTAATAGGTACTATGCAGGTCCAGGACTTCGTATGGCCCCCATATAACGGTATCTTCCTATATTCCGTATTTTAATGATTCAAGCTAAATTATTCACCGATTTTTTTTTTCAAGTTTCGCATTTGAATACTGTAATGGCTTATAACAAAAGTTGCCAATGCAGGTCCATGTCGTCGTATAGACCCTAATATAACGGCTACATTCTTTAACAGCATTTTTAACGGATTTTATTTTTTTGAAAATTTCGTTCCAAATGGTTTAGGGTATTCAAAGTTCGGCTCAGGCGAATTTACTGCTTTCTTATTTGTTGTAACTAATAATGTTTCAAGAGAATGTGAATGATTTTCCCAGACTCCTCCAAATTGTTGACTTTTTTAGACTCCAAGGCCCGAAGGAGTTAATTTTTTTCTAGACTCTTACAACCCCCAAAGGCTGTGACTATAAGGCCTGAAGGCGAGGACTTTTTAAGAGTTTTTTCTAGGCTCCAATTCCTGAAGACGTAGACTTTTTAAATATTTCTTTTGGAATCCTCAAACGCCAGTTGGCGTTATCTCTCCTTAAAGATTTATGGATCTTGGCGTGGACTTTTTAAAGATTTCTTCTAGACTTCTTCAACGCCCCAAGGCGTTAACTTCTTCTAGACCACATGAAGGCAAGGATTTTTTAAAGATTTCATCTGTACCACATGAAGTCTTAGACTAGATTCCTCCAAAGACCGAAGGCTTAGCTTTGACTTTTTAAAGTTTTTTCTAGACTCTTACTATGAGATATTGACGAGCGTGGCCTTTTTAAAAAATTGTAGAATCCAAGGCCTAAAGGCGTGGACTTTTTAAAGATTTTGTTTTAGACTTCAAGACCCGAATGCGTGGACTTTTTAAATATTTCTTCTAGACTCCTCCAACGCCCGAAGCCGTTAACTTTTTAGAGATTTTTCTCTAGAATCTAAGGACCGAAGTCGGGGACTTTTGAAACATTTTTCCTAGACTCCAAGGTCCGAAGGCGTGAAGTTTTTAATATTTCTTCAAGAAGGCGTGGGTTTTTAAATATTTCTTTAACACTCTTCAAAGGTCTGAAGACGTGGATTTTTAAATATTTCTTCAAGAGTCCTCCAAGGTCCGAAGTCGTGAATTTTTAAATACTTCAAGACTCCTCCAAGGTCGAAGGCGTGGATTTTTAAATCTTTCATCAAGACTCCTAAAAGGTCCGAAGGCGTGGATTTTTAAATACTTCTTCAAGGCTTCTCCAACGCCCAAAGGCGGTTACATTTTAAAGATTTTTTCTAGACTCTAAGGTCCGTAAGTAAGGTGCCAAGGTCCGAAGAAAAGGATTTTTTAAAGATTTTCCATAGATCTCAAGACCCAAAGGCGTGAACTTTTTAAAGATTTTTTTGTAGACCCCATGAAGCCGAGGACTTTTTAAAGATTTCTTGAAGACTCCTCCATAGACCGAAGGCTTAGACTTTTTTAAAGATTTTTTCCAGACTCCTACAATGAAATATTAGTGAGAGTGGAGTTTTTAAAGATCAAGGCCCAAAGGCTTGGATTTTATAAAGATTTATTCTAGACCCCAGATCGCCAAAGCCCGAAGGAACGGACTTTTTAAAGAATTTTTCTAGACTGCCCCAATGAGTTTTAGAAATAAACAGGACTTTTAAAAGATATTTCCAGATTGCTTCTATGAGTTTTGGGTAATTAACGGAATATTTCAGACATATTTGGGTTCTTAATTTTTGGAAAAACGGGAATTTTCTTGTCTTCATTTTTTTCAATCTAACTGGTTCCTGCATTTCTTGAGTGGATTGCAAATGTTTTGTGTCTTAGGATGACATAAAATTTTAGAAACAGATCATAAATTGTAACCCGAATTCTACAGTTAAAAACCAGTTAAAAAAACAGTTAAAAAATCTTCAGACTTTGCACCAAAAAAAAAACCTTGGGAAGATGGATCTTCAAAAAAACTCTTTCTGTCTTAAAGGATGGATTAGGGTCTTTTGGGGTTCTTTTTTCAGGTGAGGTTTAGCAATAATTTTCTTATTTTTTTTCCTTTTTTTTTGTTGATGGACATTCTTAGAAATTTTTGATGGATATCTAAGTTAAGATTTTTATTTTTTATGGTCTGTTCCAGAACTCCAAGAATATAATTGTTTTATTTTATTTTATTTTCGAAATAACAAACCTCTCTATTTCTTACCCTCTCTCACTTAAAATTATTAGAAAAAAGAGCGAAGACTGTACACCGACTTTTAAAATAAATTCTCAAAATTTTCCTTTCGTTTTATTTTACCTTTCGCTTTAACACACAGATACTTCGTCGTTCGTTGCGGGCTCCCGAAGTTACCCAAAAAAACTTACCATGCATATTGGAATGTCTATGATTGTGATGAAGCATTGCGGCAGCTGTGGCATATGGCGGAGGCATATTTGATTGCAGGGCCACCGGTGACAAAGGTCGACTGTTCATGTGTTGTGGCGGTGTTGGTGGCGGCGGATGTGGTGAAATGTTACCGCTGCCGCCACCAACGCCAACGCCTAAACCACTGCCAGATGGAGGCGGGGGTGGATACATGGGCATGTTTTGTCCTCTCATTAAATATGGAGGTGGCGTTGGTGTTAATGGTGGCTGATGTTGTTGTTGCTGCTGTTGTTGCAATGGTGCATTCATGAGTTGGGGTGGTGGCGGTGTCGCTGGGTGCTGTAGGTGTTGTTGTTGTTGCTGCTGTTGCTGTTGTTGTTGTAGTGTATGTAATTGTGGCGATAATGCACGTGTATTGCACGGAGTATTTAGAGTTCGTGTCGCTGCCGTATTCGAAATCTGCTGCAACAGTCGACAATCGGCCGCTGTGTAAACAGATGATGAAGAACTTGTATCGTGTTGAGCATACGAGCCATGCCCACTATCATTCGAGGATACCGATCCTGGATGGTGGAGGGAAAAGAATTGAATTGAAGGACACATTTCTTCTTTTTTGTTTTTTGAAGTGGCAAAACAACAAAAGTGCTTTTGTTTGAATTCACGGTTGTAGTTGTTGTTATTATTGTTAGCTGGTATTTGATTTTTGTTGTTGTTAATGTTGTCGTCCATTAGTGTGTTTTTTATTTGTTTAGTAAATAATACGAGTGCATTTGTGTGTGTGTGAGAGAGAGTGCGTGTGTTCAGTGAAAAGTAGAGTGCATTAGAGAGTGTTTATTATTGAAAGTAGGAGTAGAGATATTTCCGAGGAAGCTGAGTGAAAGGCAAAGAGTTTCAGACAAGCAGATGTTATCGAACAAATATTGATTTGAAAAAATTGTTATCGAAAATCTTTTAGAAAAATGAGGTATCGGTTAACAGTTCTATAGAAAAAATATCGATACGAGAAAATCAGCTATCGATGTGTTTTTCTATGGAAACATTAGTTATCGAAACAATTTTCTGTATCAAAAAAAATTTTATCGAATTAGTTTTCTATTTAAAAATTAATTTCCGATTCACTGTTCTATAGAAAATGTTGTTATGTGCCAAAAATTGTTATCGAACAACTTTCCTTTGTTATCGATTCGATAACTTTTTTATCGAATAAAGTTTCTTTAAGAAAAAGTTTTTTTATCAAAAAAATGTTTGTGGAAATATTAGTTATCGAACAACGTCTCTGTTAAAAAATTGTTATCGAACCACTTTTCAACTTGTTATCGAAGAGCTTTCCTGTGGAACAAGTTGTTATCCAACAACTCTTAACTAGGAAAGTTGTTATCGATAAACGTTTCGCAGGAAAAATTTCTTATCGAGCTACTTTTGAACAGAAAAAGCTGTTCGATAACAGTTTCCACAAGAAAAAAATATTATTTTTATTGAACAGAGAAAAGTTGTGATCGAACCATTTTTCTATGGTAAACTCGGTTATCGAAAAACTTTCTATAGGAAATGTTGTTATCGAAATAATTTTTCACGGGAAAAGTTGTATCGAAAATTTTCTTAAAAAAAAAATTGTCGATACCAACCACTTTTATGGAAAAAGATGTCATCGAACCAAAAGTTGTTATCGAACAAATGATTGATAGGAAAGGTTCTTATCGAACCATTTTTTTTCGAAAAATAGTTATCGATCAACTTTTCTCTAGGAAATGTTGTAATCGAACGACTTTTCTACGGGTCAAGTTGTTATGCCTGAACTTTTCTCTGGGAAAAGTTGGTATCGAATCACTTTTCTATGTGAAAATGTGTTATTGAACTTTTTTCTTTTTGAAAATTCTTGTTATCGAATAACTTGTCTCGAAAAGTTGTTAATGAACAACATTTCTATGGAGAAAGTTGTTGTCGAATAAAAACACATTTTCAACAAAAATTTTCTTTGGAAAAATAAATTGTTTTAGAAATTTCTGAAAAGTTGTTATCGACCACATTTTTTGCGGAATAATTTGTTATCGATCTACTTTTCTATGGGAAAATTTGATTTCGAACATCTTTCCTCTAAGAACATTTTTTTATCGACCAACCTTTCTCCGGAAATAACTTTCCTACTGGAAAAGTTGTTATCGGTCCACTTTTCAAATTATCAAACGACTTTTCTACGAGAGAAGCTGTTATCGAACAACTTTTTTATGGGATAATTTCGTTCCACTTTTCTATGAGAACATTTTTTATCGAACAACTTTCGTGTCAGATAAATTGTTATCGACCAACCTTTCTACGAAAAGGTAGTTATCGAACGACTTTTCTTTGTAAAAAGTTGCTTTCGAACTATTTTCCTATTGGAAAATATGTTATCGGTCCACTTTTCAAAGAGAAAATTGGTTATAAAAGCACTTTTCTGCTGGAAAAGTTATTATCGAACTACTTTTCTACGGGAAAAGCTGTCATTGAAGAAATTTTCTGAAGGTAAAAAAGTTATCGAACAATGTTTTTATGGGATAAGTTGTTGGAAAATTATTATCGAACAACTTCCACTAAGAAAAGTTTTTATCGACGGAAAAGGTAGATATTGAACGAATTTTCTATTTGAAAATTTATTTTCGAACTACTTTTCTGCTGGAAAAATTGTTATCGGTCAACTTTTTAAAATGAAAAAGAGGTTATAGAAGCATTTCTCTGCTGGAAAAGTTATTATCGAAGCACTTTCCTACGAGAAAAGCTGTTATCGAACAACGTTTCTGAAGGTAAAATTGTAATAGAACAATTTTTTATGGGATACATTGTTATCGGTCCACTTTTCTATAAGAAAAGCTGTTATCGAACAACTTTTTTTATGGGATAAGTTGTTGTCGAACAATTTTTCTCTGTTTTCGCACAACTTTCCTACTTGAAAATTTGTTAGCGGTCTACTTTTCCACTGGAAAAGTTATTATCGAACTACTTTTCTACGAGAAATGATGTTATCGAACAAATAATTGTAATCGATAAACTTTTCTTTAAGAAAAGTTGTTTTCGAACTACTTTCCTACTGGAAAAGTTGTTATCGGTCTATTGTTAAAAGGGAAAAGCGGTTATCGAAGCATTTTCAGCTGATAAAATGTTTATCGAAATACTTTTCTGTAAGAAAATCTGTTATCGATAGACTTTTCTAAATGTAAAATTGTTATCAAACAAATTTTCTCTAGGAAAAATGTTATCGGTTGTTATCGATCAACTTTCTTACTTACTTAATTATTAACGAACCATTTTTCTATGGAAAAAAATTGTTATCGAACAACTTCTGTCCAGTAAAAGTTGTTGTCGTTCCACATTTCTATGGGAGAATTTGTTATCGACCCAATTTTCATTAGCACATCTATTATCGAACACATTTTCAAAAGAAAAATCTTGTTATCGAATTATTATTTTTATTGGAGAATAGTTCTTAAACAACCGTGAAAATTATTTATCAAACTATGTTGTTATCGAAAATATTGGAATTTTTTTTAAATATTTGCTTAAACTCTTTGCCTTAATAGTTCCCCCGAAAAAAACCCCACCGAAAGAAAATTGAAAGTGTTTTGTATTGAAAAAAAAAAAAAAAAAAAAATATTTGTTTAATTGTTAGCACCATCACACCATAAAGATTTGAAAGAAGTAATGATCCACTTGCTTAGCAATAGCACTTATTATTAGGAGAAGTCAGCATTTAAAAAGTGGTTTGCGAATCAATGTTTCAGGTTTTTTTTTATTTTCAGTTCTACCAACCAAAGCCATTCCAATATGCAGGGTTTGTCTACTTCCAAAAAATTGTATTATTCGATTAAATAGCAAATAGACTTATATTAGCATTATTAGTTAAGCATTGAAAGGGGGAAAGAGAGAGAGAAGGGTGGGGCATAAAAAATAATGTTAATGGGTTGCTTTGGATTCTTAAAAATAAATAGGTTTTAAGGGGCTGGTATTAGGCATCAGCAAGGTGAAGTCTTTAAAGTAAAGCAAAAAAATGAACACAATGCTACAAAATTTTTAAAATTGGTATTTTTTTTAATTTATATTTTTTTTCAAATTCTAACTCCCAAAAAAAAAAAAACTGAACATTTATCCTTTTGACCTTGATTTTGTAGCATTATGTCTCATATATTTTTATTATTATTTTTTTTTTTTTTTTTGCAATTAGTAGATTATTACAAAAGCGTTGGCATAACTACTACATTCATGACAACCTTACCTAATTATTTTGATGTATCTGATATAGGAACTCTTCAAATTTTTATACAGTATACAGAGAAAATCTTAAGTAATTTTTGGCTATTTTTTTTTTCTTCTAATCTGCCGGAACTTCAGTTGAAATCTGTGTTATTTTATCCATTCAAAAAAGGCTGCAATTCGAAAAGTTGTTTAATTTTGCGAAATTTCAATGGGAAGAAGTAAATGGAGACAAGTCATTCATTTGTTGTCGGAGAAGGTAAAATTTGTTCCAAGAAATTTTGAAATTTCAAAAGCTAAGAAAAACTACCCTCCCAACTCCTCAAATTATCCCCTTCATTTTGATTAAAATTCCCCTGAATATTCTCTTCTGTTCCCTTTTAGACTTTATTATGTTTGAAAACTCTTTTAGAAACCCCCAGAAATTACTAAGAAAACCAGCTAAACATTTGAAAATTTTGTTCTTTGCTACAACCCCAACTCCCATGTGATTTCCTCAGACAGGGTTTTCCGAACTAGAAAAAAAAACTAGAACAAATGTGAGCGTTTAGTTAAGAGATAATCTTGTATGATAATTACCCCCCTCCTCTCCCCTCCTAGATTTTCATGTAGGCAACAACACACAAGTGTGCGACAAGACGACCTTGAACTTCTCTAAAACAAGCAGCCGTTTATTATTTCTATTTAATTTGCCAAGCCAGAATGTAACTAATTGAGGTTGTTGTTGTTATTATTGTTGCTCTATAGATTTCTTTGAAATTCGCTAAACCTTTAATCCGTTCAAATTGTATTTGAAATCGATAGTTACTTTAAATACTTAACCCTTTGTGATTAGTGATGGTGGTAATGGAGGAAATTTTATTTAATTTTTATACCCTCAGCCATATGACTAGAGAGGGTATATCATTTGATACGCCCAAAACGTGCCTCATCGAAATAACGGATTTAGCCCTAGGTTTCTTTAGACCAAATCTGTTTCAGAACATTTAGAGTCGATCTAGCGATGTCCGTCCGTCCGCCTTTCTGGCTGGTCCAAACTTGGCACTTCGTAATATTATTTTCAAATTTAGATCAAGTTCGGAGATGGAAAATATCGGTCCATTCCTTCTGGGAGGTGTTCCCACATTTTCAAAGAAAATAATTTCCTGCACAGAAAGAGAAAGGATAACCCGATTTTGCTCCAACTTTGCAAATCCTATTATTTCTATCAACTATATGTCTTGGGCAAAAATGGACAATATCGGTCCCCTCCATCAAGTACCTCCCTCACAGAGGCTCAAAATTTTGAATATTTACAACTCCTATAAAATGTGAATTAAGAATCCGATTGTCTTAAAAT